CATATTTACATTTAAATTAATTATATCTGTTTCTATCATTCATCAATAAACCAAAATTCACATTTATAGCCAGTTGTTGACTCTTATAGGAGCAAGTAAAATTGTTTTTTTTTTTAATGTACCAGCAAAATAACTCAGCTGCCTCATCTGAACACCCAAGCTCATGTCCCTTGTCTTTGCAAATAACTATTGTTCTCATGTAAGAGAAGCACCACATTCTTCCCTTAAGCATTCTCTTTCTGCTCAGAGAAAATGAGGAGACTGTCAGTGTCATGTGTTTAGATGATTTCCTTCCTGGACTTCTGTTCTAGGTTTCATTTCACCTATGAAAAATGGTCCACATCTGTATCTGCCTATCAAATAAACTCTACCCCAGCAATGCCCAAGTGACAAAGTTGAAATCGCAAAATCTTAGCATGTGACTACCTATCTTTCTACCAGCTTGAAAAATGACAGATGAGAACCTGGCTGAAATGTAGGGAGAAAGTAAACCTTAGCACAGAAGAATAACAATTCATACAAATGACTATGGAAAACTATGATGCACCAATAAAAAAATTTTTTTAATGACCATAGAATTGAATCATGATTATATTTAACTTCAAGAACTTTCCAACATCGCTGTAAGTTAAAGTAAATGTCATGGCATGAATTTAATCCATGGGCCAAGTTGTGCTGCTCTGTCTTCTACCCAGGTGTCTCTCGTGCATCTCTTAAAGACTGTGCGGCTGCTGCGTCTTTTGCGTCTCCTGCAGAAGCTGGACCGGTACTCCCAACATAGCACAATCGTCCTGACTCTGCTCATGTCCATGTTTGCGCTCCTTGCCCACTGGATGGCGTGTATCTGGTATGTCATTGGAAAAATGGAGAGGGAAGACAACAGCCTTCTGAAGTGGGAAGTTGGTAAGGGCTTACATTTGTCACATTTTCCATTTTTAAGTTGAAAATGAAGGTTCTCTAGAATTTTGGAGGAGGTGAAAGATGAGTTTATACATATATTTTTTTCTCACTGCCAATTTGTTTCTCTCTTTGTAGCTCTCTATTATTCGTAATACAAGTGATTCCTTTCAAAAATATTTTCTGGAACAAACTTGTGGGTTTTTTTTTTCCCAAAAGTTAACTGGTTAAACTTTATAGTTAAAGTAACTTTAAAAGATCAGAACAGCGATAAAAGTGTTCAGATAAATAATATGTGATTTTTATCTTGACGTGTTCCAGTGGGGAGTTAGGAACAGTAAATCACTGGGCAACTGGTCTATGGCTGATCTCTGCAATTCTTTAAATCATAATAATCACTTATATATGAGGTTCTGTGTCAATAGAAAGATAACCCTTAAATTAATGGAGAGATACTCCCTTTAAAAAGAGAGAACTCTTATCAATGGTATACTCTATCCCATTTAGCACTCTTTGAAAATCTGTGCTTGTAGAGAGAATTAGTTATTTACAAATGTCACTTATAAAAATTTTGTATTCCCATAATACTTGAAATTTTATGGAGGATTCTCCAAGCCTTACGTAATTCTGCATAAATGAATCTGAAACACTAAGCACATGGACACATTTTTAAATTCGTGGTAACCACAGGAAATTTATAGAAAATAAAAATTCACAAGACCATAACCTTCCATCCTAAAATATCTACATTCTTCTCACAGTCATACCCTTTAAAGAACTGTCCCTATGTAGGAATTGTTTTTTCTTAATCTGACATTTAATCAAAAGAATCTGTTTCCTACTTGACTGGAAGATTCTGCCCCTCATCATCTCCACCAAAAATCAATCTTGATCTTTTGAAAGAAACTCAGACCTTTTCACAGGGAT